TTCTATGTCACTTTCCTTCCGTCTGCCATATACTTCGGATGAATCATATCTTCTATATGTATCATCCCTGGAAGAAGAAGATCCTTCCTCCTTAGATACCCTTCTTGAATTCACATCGCGCCTACGTCCTGAAGAATATAAACTGTTATAATCATCTGCGCTAGAAGAATCATCCCCTGCTGATGTTCTGTCTGTAATAGCTACGCCAACTTTGGATGGTGAGGCAGTCGGCACTAACACTGTCTCCGTAGTATCGAAAGAACTTGTACTCAAGGAATCTTCTTCTGCCAGTGCTCTCTTCTTGGCAACTACATGAATCTGTCTTGTAGTATTAACATCTCCCGAGATTTCTCGTATGGTGATTGTTTCAACTGAGCTCACGGAAGTGTCCTCTTCGGAGAATTTGTCTTCGAAGATTGCATCAATTATGCTCAAGGAAGGACTTCTTTTCGACGATTTATTTCTAGTGCTAACTTCAACTGAGCTCAAACACCTATGTTTCTGTGATAAATTCTTCTTAGACAAGCCGTAATTTGATTTCAAAGAATTACTTTCTCCCGACATCTTCCTTGTCTTCACTGCACTCTGTCTGACTGTGCACGCAACTCCAGGTAGTATTCCTTTTCTGATGAGAAGTTCATCTTTTTCTAAGGAATGCAATTTTCTCAGGGACTGTTCCTTTTGCTTTATATCGATGTCCTTTCCATTTCTAAGGTGTTTGAATGTTCCTACTATGGTTCTTCCTTTTCTATCTGTCTTGACAGCTCTATTTATTGTTAAGAAATGAATTGCCGCTGCTACGATATCTTCCCTTGGGAAATCCTCTCCTTGTGTTGGTCCATCTTTCTCCTTCCTATCACCTATTCTTGCAGATTCCTCTAAATGTAATCTTTTTTCTTTTACAATTGTGCCGTGCCTTATGGATCTGTAGAAGTTACATAAACCACTATCTGGAGATAATGCAGCCTTATATGCTGAATCAACGTTCCATGACATTTTAGTTGTACAGTCTTCTGAATTCTTCTGTATAGATTGGCATAATTTAAATAAAGCATCCTCTAAGTTTACAGCTCTTTCACGTAAGCGATGAATGCTCTGTGGGAAGTCATATATTTTATAAGCATGGATTCCATCTCTAATGATATTCGCCTGTAGTATTTTAGATCTATGCGGTTTCTCTTCTTCCAAGTTTCGTAATTTTCTAAATAAGTTACAATCACCTGTTAGAGAATCATGCTCTGGATCATCAGCTCTTTGTTTTCCATCGAACATGTCCTTAACATGAACTTCATTTTCGAGATTAGCTTTCTGTATTAATTCCGTGTGAAGCCCTACTTCATTAC